CATAGCATACACATATACGTGTATATATGCATTTATATATGCATGTGTATACATGTGCATATACGCATGTACATATGTGTCATAAAACATATTTATAATACATATGTGTGTATGTATGTATCTATCACCAGTAAAGGTCCTGGGGCATTTAGTGGATTGGGGGTGGGGGGAGACTGATTCATTTAGAAAATCATAGATCCTAGATGGAAGCTCCTCTCCAATCCACTCATTTTTAAAAAAATGTGTATCACAAATGTTTCTGAGAAGACCTCATCAGTAAATATTTCTTTTGCTTGGCTTTGTTTCTATGATAAGAAGACTCCTGGATACAGACTTGCATAGAAGCTTCATAATGACATCCTGGCTAATGAACAGGCTCAAGAACCAACCATAGAAACAATTAATAATGATGTGAAAGTGAACAATATTGACGACACAACATCCCAACATTTCTGGAATGGATCCAATTTTTCCCTGAGGAAAAAGTTCTCTGAGAGAACATATATCAACCAAATGAAAAAAGGGAGGATTAACAAACTGAATATAAATGTGACATTTTTGGAGAGCTACAAATAAAACAAAACCATAATGAGAACAGAAGAGGAAACCTTAAAAATCACAAGAGAAATAAACACATTGGAAAAGTTTACATGATCAATACATATGGGGGACAGTGAGAAAAAAAGCAGGGATTGGGGAGATGAGGAGTTGTGTGCAAGAAATAGCACGGAGCCCAGGGCTGCTGGATAGAGTATGTAGAGGGGACTAATATTTGTTGATTGTGGGGGGAGGGTGACATATTTCTTTAAAAAATTCATAAAATCATTATCAAAAAGAAGGTGGAAATCAAGTTACTAAAAAGTGATAAAGAAAAAATATACAACAAAAGACAAAAAGAGAAAATAAAACTGATTATGTTCCAACAAAATGGAATTTGTAAGTAAAGATTGTCTACAAAAATATAAAATACCCAGATTAACAGAAGATGAAATAGATATTTTAACTTAATATCTGAAAATGAAATTGACCTAGATATAACAGAAATGGGGTGGGGACAGGGGCACTCAGTCAAACTTGTTTTATGAGACAAATACAGTCCTTGACTCCATTTTTTATTAATAAATTTATTTATTTTTAGTTTTCAACATTTACTTCCACAAGATTTTGAGTTCCAAATTTTCACCCTATTTCACCCCTCCCCCCACCCCAAGATGGCATGCATTCTGGATACACCTTCCCCTAGTCTGCTTTCCCTGCTATCTCTTCCCCCCTTCTCTTATCCCTTTCTCCTTCTATTTTCCTGTAGGGCAGGATAGAATTCTGTACCCCATTTCCCATATTTCTTATTTCCCAGTTGCATGTGAAAATAATTTTTTTAAACATGTGTTTTTAAAACTTTGGGTTCCAAATTTTCTCCCTTCCTCTCTCCCCACCCACCCTCATTGAAAAGGCAAGCAACTCAATATAGGTTATACATGTGCAGTTATGCAAAACACTTCCATAGTAGACATGCTGTGAAAAACTAACTCTATTTCCTTTAATCCTATCCTGCCCCCCCATTTATTCTATTCTTTCTTTTGATCCTGTCCCTCCTCAGAAGTATTTGCTTCTGATTACCCCCTTTCCCAATCTGCCCTCCTCTCTATCATCCCCCTACTCTCTTGTCCCCTTTCCCCCTATTTTCCTGTAGGGTAAGACAGATTTCCATATCCAATTGAGTGTGCATGTTATTCCCTCCTTAAGTCAAATCCTATGAGAATAAGATTCACTCATTCCCTCTCACCTTCCCCCATTTCCCCTCCACTGCAAGAGCCTTTTCTTTTTGTTTTTTTTTGTGAGATAATTTACCCTGTTCTACCTCTCCCTTTCTCCTTCTCCTAGAATAATCCTCTCTCACCCCTTAATTTTATTCTCCAGATAAGACCCCTTCATCTTCAACTCACCCTGTGCCCTCTATCTATATCTATATCTATATCTATATCTATATCTATATCTAAATCTATATCTATATCTATATCTATAGCTATACACACATATAATTTTTTCCCTCCAACTACCCTAATACTGACAAAGGTCTCATGAGCTACAATTATCATCTTTCCATGCAGGAATGTAAACAGTTCAACCTTAATAAATCTCTTATGATTTCTCTTTTCTGTTTACCTCTTCATGTTCCACTTGAGTCTTGTATTGGAAAGTCAAATTTTCTATTCAGCTCTGTTTTTTTCATCAAGAATGCTTGAAAGTCCTCTACTTCACTGAATGATAATTTTTTCCCCTGAAGGATTATACTCAGTTTTGCTGGGTAGGTGATTCTTGGTTGTAATCCTATCTCCTTTGCCCTCCAGATTATTATATTCCATGCCCTGTGATCCCTTAATGTAGAAGCTGTTAAATCTTGTGTTATCCTGATTGTGTTTCCACAATACTTGAATTGTTTCTTTCTGGCTGCTTTTAATATTTTTTTTCCTTGACCTGGGAGCTCTGGAATTTGGCTACAATATTCCTAGGAGTTTTCCTTTGGGGATCTCTTTCAGGAGGAGATCAGTGGGTTCTTTCAATTTCTATTTTGCCCTCTGGTTCTAAAATATCAGGGCAGTTTTCCTTGATAATTTCTTGAAAGATGATGTCTAGGCTCTTTTTTTGATCATGGCTTTCAGATAGTCCAATAATTTTTAAATTCTCTCTCCTGGATCTATTTTCCAAGTCAGTTGTTTTTCCAATGAGATATTTCACACTGTTTTCTAATTTTTCATTCTTTTGGATTTGTTTTACAGTGTTTTGATTTCTCATAAAGTCACTAGCTTCCAATTGCTCTATTCTAATTTTTAAGGAAGAATTTTCTTCTGTAATCTTTTGGATTTCCTTTTCCATTTGTCCAATTTTGTTCTTTAGGGCATTCTTCTCTTCATTGGCTTTTTGGACCTCTTTTGCCATTTGAGTTAGGCTATTTTTTAAGGTAGTATTTTCTTCAGTATTTTTTTGGGTCTCCTTTAGCAAACTGTTGACTTGTTTTTCATGATTTTCTAGCATCACTGTCATTTCTCTTCCCAGTTTTTCCTCTACTTCTCTTACTTGCATCTCAAAATCCTTTTTGAGCTCTTCCAAGGCCTGGGACTGATTTATATTTTTCTTGGAGGCTTTGGATGTAGGAGCTTTGACTTTGTTGTCTTCTTCTGGTTGTATGTTTTGATCTTCTTTGTCACCAAAGTAAGATAATATAGCCTGACTCTTTTTGCACTGCTTACTCATGATCCCGGCCAATTACTTGAGTTTTAAACTCTTTGTTAAGGTAACAGTTTGCTTCCAATATGGAGAATGTACTGTCCCAAGTTTCGGGGGTTTGTACAGCTGTTTTCAGAGATACTTCTAGGGACCTGTAAATTTTCAGTTCTTCCAAGGTGGTATGATAAGGGAATGGGTGTTTCCTCTCCACAGCCACAACAAGCTCCACCAAGCCAGTGCTCCTCCTTGCCCCAGGACCACCCCTTAGACCTGTGACCCAGATCCAAGCATGAGCAAAGCAAGATATTTCTGCCTCAGCACTGGCAGAGAGATCCCTGCAATCCCCTTCTGATCAGCCACTCAATTCCCCCTCAGTCTGTGGGCCGAGAGCCCAGGAGATAGCTGCTGCCTCAGAGGCCGCACTTGGGACTTGTGGCTGAGACCTAGCTCCTCTCTCATCACAGTCACAGACTTTTGCCACTGACCTTCTAAGTTGTCTTTGGCATTCGTGGGTTGAGAAGTCTGGAAAATGCCGCAGCTGCCCGCTATTCAGCCCTCTGAGGCCTGCTCCAGTGTTGTTGCGGCCTGCACACCCATGCCAAACTGCACTCCTCTCCCAGCCTGGCGCAATATACCTTTCTGATCAACCATCCAGGTTGTCTTGGGCTGGAAATTTGTTTCACTCTGTCTTTTTGTGGGTTCTGCTACTTTAGAATTTGTGTAGAGCCATTTTTTACAGGTATTTGGAGGGGTTTGGGGGAGAGCTCAAGCAAGTCACTGCTTTCACTCCGCCACCTTGGCTTCACCCTCCTTGAGTCTAGTCCTTGACTCTTAAACCAGGGAGGTCTGATGGAAAGAAATAAAAATCTAGACCAATCTATATAAATTCAAAAATATCAATAAAATGCTAGCAAAAAATTATGGAAATACATACAAAAAATATTCACTATGGTCAAGTTGGATTTATACCTGAGATGCATGGATGGGATTCTACATTAGGAAAACAATTAACAAAATAAGTAATATTTAAAATAAAAACACTACCAACCACAGGTCAGTGATTTTCCTAAAACATAGTTCGCTCCCTTACCATATTCAATAAACTTCATTTGCATAGCTGTTTGTATGTTCACTAACTCCTTGGAATATGAGCTTCTTGAGAACAGATTGTTTTTGCCCTTTTTCAGGGCTCACAGAGGGGAGGGGAGGGGCTATTAAGGAGATTGCTCCCCCATCTCCAAGCACCTGAGACCTTCAGCACTGAGCTAACACGTGGTGTTGACTGATGGCAACAATGTACATATGCCATGAGGTACAATCCTTATTTTATATCTTTTTGGATACACGCACATGCACACATACACACATGTATGTATACGTTTCCATTTTCTACCTCCCATCCAGCATTCCATCTCTCATCCTGGAAACCAGGATTTCAGAATGGTAAGCATTCATCATGTCTACCCTAGACCAATTCACTCTACCACTCTGATATCTTCATGCTGCCATGCTACTGTACTCCAGCCTCCACCTCCCACCCTGACACCTTGAGCTTCTGATTGGTAAGCTTTCGCCACATCCAGCCTAGTCCCAGACTCAACAGGTGTCTCCCCAGCCATCTTCTTGCCATGCTGTGTGTGTGTATCCTTCACTCTCCAATCCCCATATTCCAAATCTACCTACAAAAGCAGTAATCAAATCAACCCTATCAAAACACTCCTTCCTGACCACCACTCCACTAAATGTGTCGACTTCTACTAGAATATAAGCTTCTTGTGCTCACTTCAGCAGCACATATACTAAAATAGGAATGATACAGAGAGGATTAGCATGGTCCCTGCATAAAGATGACACACAAATTAGTGAAGCATTCCATATTAAAAAAATATATATAAGCTTCTCGAAGGAAGGAACAACTTGGCTTGTTTATAATTATAAAGCCAGTATTTAGCACAAATGTCAAATTATGCCATAAAACAATAATCATCAAAACTATTTGAAATTGGTAAAAAAAAAAAGAAAGCACATCATTAGAATAGACCTGATAAAGAAAAATCACAAGCAATTCAAGTTAATAACCTTGTGTTTGACAGACCTAATTGGGTTATAAATTACTTAAGGGGAAAGCTCTGTATTTAAGAATAACTGATAGGAAAATTGGAAAGCAGTTTGGCAGAAATTAGGTTTGTACCAATCATTTATACCATACAGCATAATAAGCTAAATATGAACATGCAGCCTGAATTAAAGGTTATACCACACATATATACACACAAAATTAGAGCAGAACCTTTAGAAATTAGAAGGACCTTTTGCAGCTATGGCTAGGGGGAGGACTCTCACCCAAGATAGATAATTTTTATTCCATGAAATAAAAAAGTTTCTGCAGAAACAATATTAATGAAACTAAGATGAAAGGGAAATGTTTGAACTAAAACATATATGCATCAAATGTTTTTGATAATGGATGTGGAAAAATAGGGACACTAATACATTATTAGTGGAGTTGTGAATTAGTCCAATTGTTCTGGAGAACAATTTGGAACCATGCCTAAAGGGCTATAAGACTATGCATACCCTTTGACTCAGCAATATCATTACTAGTTATGTATCCCAAAAAGATCAAAGAAAAAGGGAAAAAAAACCCTGAAAGTACAAAAAATATACAGAAGTTTCTTTTGTGGTGGCAAAGAATTGGAAATTGAGAGGCTTCCCATTTATTTGGGGAATGGCTGATAAGTTATGATATATGATTGTGATGGAATATTACTATACTATAAGAAATGATGGTTAGGATGGTTTCAGAAAAACCTGGAAAGACTTGTATTAACTGATTCAAAGTGAAATGAGCATAATAGAGAACCCTGTACATAGCAACAGTAATATTGTAGCAATAGTCAACCATGAAAGATTTAGTAACTCTGATCAAAACAATTATTCAAGACAATTTCAAAGGATTTAATGATGAAAAATTCTATCCACCTCCAGAGAGAGAAGTGATGAATTCTGAGTGAAGACTGAAGAGTATATTTTTAAAAATTTTTCTTGCTTTTATTTTTGCAATATGGCTAATATAGAAATATGTTTTACCTGGCTTCATATGGATAATAGGTATCAAATGATTTACCTTCTCAAAGGATGGAGGAGGGGTGGTGGGAGAGAATTTAGAACTCAAAATAAAATGAATGTTAAAAAAGTTTTTGATAATGACTTGATGTGCAAGATATATAGGGAACTAGCATAAATATGTAAGACAAAAAAAGTTCCCTAACGGATTACTGAGCAAACACTATAAAAAACTGATCTCAGATGAATACTTTCAAACCATTAACAACCATGGGAAAAGTTGCTCTAAGTCATTAATAATAAAAAAAAATCAAATCAATATAGCTCTGAAGTTTTACCTCACACCTAGAAAAATTGGCAAGGATGTCACAGATGGGAAGAGTCAATATTTCAGGGGTTGTGGAAAGCCAGGGTCCATTATATGTTGTTGGGGGAGCTATGAAGTGGTCTAACCATTCTGGATAATAATTTGAAATTTTGCTAAGAAAGTGACCATAATCTCCATACTCATTGACCTAGAAATTCTACTGCTAAGCAGATATACCTCAAGAGGGTAAGGGCAGAAAGTATGGTGTTATGTACACAAAAATATTCATAGCATCACTGTTTATGGTCATAATGAATTGGAAACAAAGTAGATGCTTATCATTTGGGGGATGATTAAACAAATTGTACTACCTGAATTTAAAGGAATATTGCCCTATAAGAAAAGATGACTATGATGGTTTGGAGAAGCTTGAAAAGAGTTATATGAACTGATTCAGTAAACAGAATTGAAATAAGTGGAATGATGAAAATAATATACATAATGGTTATGACAACGTAAATGGAAAGAACAATGAAAATAAACTGAATGTTGCGTAATTAAAGTGATCAAATTTGTTACCAACAAAGAAATTAGTAGTGTAATGACTTCTTTGCAGAAGTGGGAGACTACTGATATGGCACATTTCACACTTTCAGCTTTCAGACTTAGCAGATGTATTTGTTAGTTTTGCTTAATGATTTTTTCCCCCTTCCACTTAAAAAAATTGATGCAGAATTGCTTGTTGTACAAGAGAGGAGAGAAGGATAGATTCAGAAATGAAGGCGAGATAAAAATGTCTAGCATCAATAAAAATGAAAAAATTATGTTTAAAAAGAAAAGAACACTAGCCTTGCATTCGGAAGTCCAGAGCTCTGGTCTGGGTTCTGTCACTAACTAGCTGTATGCTCTTCAGGAAGTTACTTCAATTACCTTTTTATCTGAAACGAAAAAAAAGATTGAATGATATCAGGCCAGCTTATAGGATTGTGAGAATCAAATGAAATAATACTTATATAATATTTTGTCATTTAAAAGGACCATAAACAATGGCTTTAATAACAAAATTAATTGTTTCCAAGTCATTTCCCTGTCCTTTTATTTGATGGTCCAACTATCCATATCATTTCTGCATCTTGATAAGTTGATTACCACAATACTTTATTTGTTGCTGTTGTTCAATCATGTCTGACTCTCCCTGACCCCGTTTGGAATTTTCTTGGCAAAGATTCTGGAGTGGTTTGCCATTTCCTTTTTCAGTTCATTTTACAGATGAGGAAACTGAAACAAGCGGGATTAAGTGACTTGCCCAGGGTCACACAGCTAGTAAGTATTTGAAGCTAGATTTGAATTCACAAAGATGAATTTTCTGTTCTTTAGACCTGGCACTGTGCCACCTAGCTACCCATTGAGTTGTAAGCTTTTTGAAGAAAGAACATGTTCTGTTCTTGTCTTTGTATCCCCAGTACCTAGGACAGTACCTGGCAGTTTTTTGGTTTGTTTTGGCTTGACCTGTGGTTTAATTAAGTGTTTAATAAATAAATGGTTCTTAATTGGATGCACAACTTGCTTCTACATTTCCTGACTAAGGAAATGATAAAAATCATTTTCATTTTCTGCCAAAAGAAAGCACCTGGAACTGAATGCCAGGAGAAGTGCACCATGTGCAGCCTTGTAGAAAGAAGAGACATGAGATCATAGGTGGACCGCATCTTTGATTTAGGCTTTTGTGAAAGGCGCAGTCACTGCTGAAATGGATCTTTCTTTAATTGACTCTCCATTGAGGCTAGAGGAAGCCCATTAAACTGTATCTCTGCAAGGGGTTTTCTAGGAGAGGCTGCAATAATATCATTGGGAGGGAGAGAGGGAGAGAGGGAGAGCAGGAAAAGAGAAGATAGAGAAAGAGGGAGGAGGAGGGAGAGTAAGAAGGGGGAGGGGAAGGAGGAGGGGCAGAGTAGGAGAAAGAGGGAGAGGAAAGAAAAAAGAAGAAAAAGAAAAGGGAGAGAAAAAAGAGGAAAAGAGAGAGGGGGAGGGAGAGGGAGTGAAAATGGGAGAAAGAATGGGGGATGAGGAGGAAGAGGGGAGGGAAGGGGGGGAGGGAAGAGGGGAGGGAGGGAGAGAGACAGAGACAGAGAGAAACAGAAATGGAGATCTACTCACAGCATGCTAGCTTATATAGTCCAGAAAAATGGACAGTTAACACACTCTCTAGACTATCTCTCTGAAAGAGAAGCTATCCTCAGGGGACTTTTGTCAAATATTAGATCCCAAACAATTCTGTTTTCTTTCTCAGTATTTGTATTCTCAGTTCCCTCCACAGGTCAACAATGTCATTAATTTTTAACCACAGGAAGCTAAGATAATTTTATTTCCAAGTGTGTGCTTTAGTTCAGTGGCTTTTGGCCATGACCCAGCATGTATGACCTGCCATCACATGGGAGGAAAGTACTGTGCCTGCTTAGTATTGCACAGCTACTATCAAGGCTTTGTGGTTGGATCAGAGGCTATGAATGGTTCCAGTAGATATGGCTGTCCCCAGACACTGAGTCTTGCCACCGATGATTGGTTATTCCTACTATTCCAGAATACAGACACACACATACATATATACACACATATGAAAATATTTATATACACATATATGTATATATTAATAATAACAATAGTAGCTAACATTGGTATAGTGCTTAATTTGTGCAAGGGACTAAACTAAGTGCTTTACAAATATTATCTCATTTGATCCTCACAACAAACCTGCAAAGTAGGTTCTATTATTATCCCCATTTTACAGTTGAGCAAACTGAGGCAGAAAGAAGTTAGGTGACTTGCAGGTATCTAAGCAGAGGCTGATCGATCTATCGACTGGCTGATTGGCAGTTTTAGGGTCAGCACTTGAGTCCAAACATTCTTGGCTTTGAGGCTGCCTCTCTACCCACAATGCCATACTTCCTCTCATGTCAAATTAGAGATATACTTATAAATAAGAAAAATCTGTATGTACTCCCTGTCTCCTAACTTTTCAGCTTCCTTTTATGTGTCATCTTTCCTATTAGAAGGTAAACTCACCGAGGGAAGGACTATCTCTACGTGTATTTATATTCCCAGCACTTAGTACAATGTCTGGCACATAGAGAACACTTAATAAATTGAGTGATTGTAGTAGAAATTCCTGATTTCATATCCATCTTTTTTTTTTGTCTGGGGGGAAATGTTCATGTTTGATAATCTTTGTCAAGTTCACAATAACAAAAATGAAGATTTAAAAAAACCACACCTGGAACTTTCCTCTTATCTTGAATCAGTAGAAGGGAGGGGACAAGAAGAACTGCCTCCTGGTGATTTGTTGGTTAAGCTATCAATCGGGATCAAGCCAGGTTGTGATAGCTTTAATTGGTTGCTGTGCTGTCTTATTACTGGTGACTTGTATGCAAGAAGTGGCTTTATAAAAGATGAATGAGCTTTAATCATTCACCAGGAAGTGAATGAGCAGAGAAAGAAGTGGGTTGTCAATG